AGAGAGCGCGACGTCCTGGGGGGGGACGCGGACTGCCCCGGCCATATGTAGATCTTGGGGCACTGCCCCCGTACCCCCCTCTCTCCTGCAAAGCATAAAGCATGAGTTAGTCCAGCCCGGGGATTCTATTGTCCCCCTCCACACACACACACACACACACCCCTCAAGTAGTTGCGAACTCTCTGGCTGGTAGACATACTCATGCAGCCTGAGCACATTTACCAGCCAGGCAGTTCGAAACTACAAACAGATACATCTAGTAATAATAGAACTTACCTAAGGAGAAAATACCAGACATGTTATATGTCTGATATTTTCTCAGTTTGTTTTTTATGTGTTTATATTTTGGGGCTGCAAAAAGCAGTATTGAAAAAAAAAAGAGTTCCAACTAAAGTAAAATGTTTGGGAAACCCTGGTCTAACCAGCTTTCTGTCTGTCTTACAGTCCATTTATCCAATCCATATTCCTTAACTTGCTGGCAAGAATATTGTGGGTGGCCATATCAAAAGCTTTGCTAAAGCTGGCACTGGGGGTTTTGGGAGGACCAGAAACAACTTATTTGAATATTCATCATTTGATTAACGAATATGCAAATATGCAAATGAACATTACCGGTCCTTCAAAAGTTCGTGAATGGATTTACTGGTCCCCATGTCAAAAAGTTTGGGAACCCCTGCTTTAGATGTTTGTTTTAGTGCAACAGTAGTTCACAATTTGATCAGGCCTGCTGACCAAGAGGGCAAAGGAGGTAGTTGCCTCAGGGCCCAGGGATTCAAAAGAGCCTGGGGTCCCGTCTTTGCTACTGTGGCAGTGGCCCTTTAAATCGCTACTGGAGTGCTGGGCAGTGCTGAAGTGTTGGTCGAGGAAGGCTAGCCTCTACCCTACCCAAGGCTCCTCCCTTTCTGGTATCATGGAGCCAGGGCCTCCCCCATCTTGCCTCGGGGCCTGGAAATTCTATTCCCCCAATCCCTGTCCCAAATTTATTATCATGCAATTCTGGGAGAGGCTTCAATCCTGTATTTGGATTGTACTTGCAAACTCTGGCACTTACCCTGGAGCATAGTTGAAGTCAATGGATGGACTACATGGGTGTAGGAATCACACGTCATTGGTTGATCAAGTACAAAGGTGGCAGCTGAATCCAGAATTAATCCTGATACCTATTTAAACATTAACTGATTTACCCAAAGTGGTTATGAAAGAATGCCCCATCATCTTCTCAACTCATCATGTCTGAAGGGAATGAGCTCATCATTTGTCCTTGCAAGTCTTCTCTTTAATTTGTTTGTCAACCTCACTGCATATTTGATCATTCAACCATACAGTCTGGGGCTGTGTCTACACTGCACCCCTTTTCCGGAAAAGGGATGCAGATTAGACACTTTGGAATTGCAAATCGGTGGGGGATTTAAATATCCCCTGCGGCATTTGCATTTACATGGCTTTTTTCCGGCTTGGGGATAAAAGTAGGAATAAGAAATCCTCCAGAAAAGGGCTTATTTTCCGGAGAATCGCGTCTTGACTGGCACTTTTCTCCGGCTTATCCCCAAGCCGGAAAAAAGCGGCAGCCATGTAAATGCAAATGCCGCGGGGGATATTTAAATCCCCCGCGGATTTGCAATTCCGAAGTGTCTAATCTGCATCCCTTTTCCGGAAAAGGGGTGCAGTGTAGACACAGCCTGGTTGTCTGCTTTGATTCCTCACTTTCCTTCCACTGTACCTTTTGGTTCCCTGGTTTTCTCAATTATACAGCTTCTTTTTCAACAACATCTCTCAAATCAGTTATTTCTTTTTTCTCATGCCAAGTTGTTATTAGTATTCTACTGATCCCTGATCTTAATTACTGCAAATGAGGAAGTTATTAAACAGAAATTAAAAGGTACAGTGCCAAAAATGAAATCCCTGCAAGCTTAATGAAAACTTTCTAAAGGCACCATAATAGAGGCTCATATTAAATGCATACCCAAGTTAAAAAATATAATAAGAAGGCTAAAAAAGGGACACAGAGCCTATACAACAAAGTAAAAAGAAGGAGAGGCAAAAATTCATTTAAAAAAAATTGAAGTTAAATCCTATTGAGGAAAATTGAGAGGAGTGTAAACTCTGGCAAGTAAAGTAAAAAAAATATTATTAGGAAGGCTAAAAAGAATTTAAAGACAGCTAGCCAACTAAAAAAGGATCCTCAAACAGATCAGAAGCAGGAAGCCTGCTGACGACCTGTAGTGCCATTGAACAATTGAGATGCAAAAGGAGCACTGAAAGAAAATAAGGCTATTGCAGAGAAACTTTTTTTGTAACTTTTTCTCCTTCCAATTAGATGAAGAGCTTCCTGATTATATTATGGTCATGATGGCCAACAAGAAGAGTCAGGAGCAGATGACAGAGGATCTTTCCCTTTTTTTGGGGAACAACACTGTCAGGTTTACTGTATGGTATGTTTGTGAGCTACTTTTTACATTAACCTTATTTCTTACAGTAATTTCATAACTGCTTTCTGTAAATGGGATGTGAGAATATAAGAAATTACACATTTTATCATTATGCAAGTAACATTTAATCAATTAACTTTTTCTTGTTTATGAAGCGATGTAATATAGCAATTGATAATTTTTAAAATTATTACCTGTAGGTTTCCAAGATTGAGGCAGTGGTAACACTAAAATGCATACTATATGTTTGACAGAGTTTGTCTATCTGTGTGTACCTGTCTGTCCTTCTGTTTATTCAAGAGCTCCTCCTAAATGGTAAGAATTAGGATAATCAAATTTAGTATGCAGCTTCCTCTTGTCCTAACTTAAAGCAAGGTAAGGGTTTGGTTTGGCAAGAGAAATAGGATATGCCTGGAATGAGATTATTTCCCATAAAATGGAAAGGGAGGGCTCTGCTATAGTTAAATTGTAGAATGACCACAAGGGACCAGAGATGAGGACCTGGCCATCTCTAACCTTTTTGGGGCAGCAGAGGGCAAGGTTCAAGAAAAGGACAGCTATCTACCATATATTTGAGAGTGTTTGTCTGTATGGGTGCGTCTATACAGCAGGGCTTAACTCGAAATAAGATATACAAATTGAGCTACATCAATTGTGTACCTTGTTTCAAAATAACTTATTTTGAAATTGGGAGCATCTATATAGCACTTATTTTGAAATAGAGCACTCTTCCTCCAACTTCTTTACTCCATGTACAATGAGGGTTACAGGAGTTAGAGTAAGAAATCGTCCAGCATGACAGTATTTCAGCATTATTTCAAAATAACTGCCTGCTGTGTAGACGTGGACTAAGTTATTTCAAAATAACACTAGTTATTTCAAAATAATGTTCCTGTGTAGACGTACCCTCTATGCGTCTGTCTGTGAACAGGCACCCTTTCCTCCTGCTGTGCCCTCTGGAACTGCAGCAGCCATGAAGGGGCACTTCTCACCTGGCCTCAAACTTCTTCACTGAGAGGGCTGCGGTAGTTCACATTCTACATGACCGCTTGCATACTGAACCCTTTGTTCCCAGTTCCACCCTAGAGCAATGATTTAAATAGTTCATTTTTATTTTTCTTCACGTTAAGGACCTGAGCAGCGCAGTTGGAAATTGAATGACTAGTGTTCTCCTTTTATCCATTTTTTCTAATTGACCCGTATGTTTCTGAAATGTTAAAAATAAATGAGGGGTCAGCTGGGACATATGGGTTAGCAAAATGAGTTTCAAACCTATGAATCTCAGAAAATTCTATAAGATAATAATTATTATTACTGCAAAATTCTATAAGAACTAGTGAATATCACGCCACGCAGTTGAATCTGGTTAAGGTAATTATATTTAGTTAACTTCCTTTTCATGCAGATTTAAACAGCTTCAGTTTGAGATGTTGATACTGTGTAGGCATTATAGGTATGCATTGTTTTACTTGTGTTGGTCACAGGCTATTAGAGACAAGGTGAGTGAGGGCATATCATTCGCGGAAGCCGATCTCACAGACCAGGACACCCGGGTGGGACATGGTGCTACATGAAGCAGACGGCGCAATAGAAGCCTACAGCAGAAGGCTGTTTTAAACTGGGAACGTATTGATTTCGGTGTCTGAGATGAACAGACCCAGTCAAGAGAGGACTTCCAGTCCCTGCATTCTGATAGGTGGAGAGGGAGATTGGGGGCTTCCTGCATTGAATAGTGATGCGAGGCAAGCCAGCCTATGCTCCTTGCAGGGGGTGGGGCAGTAGAACACTTTGTGCCTATAGGGCAGGCATGTCCAAAGTCCGGCCCGCGGGCCAAATGTGGCCCGCGGTCGGATTTAATACGGCCCCCCGCTTCTCCTGGCTCCCCGGTGCTTTTTTCAACTGGCGCGCGCAGCGCGCCGCTTCGGGCCGCCGCCGCCGCGGTCCCAGACCCTGCCCCTGCACTCCGCTTTGGGGCTGAGAGTGCGGGGACAGCCCCCGCTTCCTCCCCCTCTCCTGGCTCCCCGGCGCTCCTCTGAACTGGCGCCGCTTCCGGCCGCGCCGCCGCCATCCATGGCGGCCGCTGCGGTCCTAAAGCCTGCCATGTAGGGCACGTCCGCAGCCCCGCTCCCCCGCTTGGCTGTGGGTTCGCCCTGCCCCTGGGCCACCGTGAGGCCAGCGTGCCCTGCGCTCTCCGCCCCCCCAGGCCCTCCGCTTTGGGGCTGAGAGTGTGGGGACAGCCCCCGCTTCCTCCCCCTCTCCTGGCTCCCCAGCGCTCCTCTGAACTGGCGCGCGCAGCGCGCTGCTTCCGGCCGCGGCGCACAAAACCAGCCACAAAGGCAAGAGAATTCTTGTTGGGCAGTGTATTAGTGCAGTGTATTACTTGGGCAGTGTATTAAACCTCTGGCACTGCGCTCACATGATCCCTTCCCCTTCTGGTCAATTTAAAAAAATGGCGACTGTAAATAAGAGAAGGAAAGTTGACAGTGAGGGCCGCCGCTTCCAGGACAGGTGGAAAGTGGAATATTTCTTCACTGAAATAGAGAATCACTGTGTTTGTCTGATATGCCAAGAGACTGTGGCTGTTTATAAGGAATTTAATGTCAAGAGACACTACCAGTCGAGACATAGCACATACGACAAGCTTACAGGGCACGACCGCAGTGAAAAGTTGAAGCAACTTGAAGCTGTTTTAATGTCACAACAGAAATTTTTCATAAGAGCCCGTGAGTCAAATGAAAATGCCACAAGGGCGAGCTATGAGGTGGCAACGTTAATTGCTAAAAATTGCAAATCTTTTGCTGAGGGTGACTTTATCAAAGAATGCGTTATGAAAATGGTTGAGAATATCTGTCCCGAGAAGAAGCAAGAGTTTGCCAACATTTGCCTGGCTCGTAACACTGTAGCACGGAGAATTGAAGAGATTTCATCAGATATTAAGAGACAGTTGACATCCAAAGGAGTGGATTTTGACTTCTTTTCAATAGCCTGTGATGAAAGCACGGACCTATCTGACACAGCTCAGTTGCTGATTTTTATGAGAGGGGTGGACGATGAAATGAATGTGACTGAAGAGCTACTTGACCTCCAGAGCCTTACGGACCAAACAAGAGGAAAAGATTTATTTGTTTCTGTTAGTTCCGCCATAGATGACATGAAACTGCCTTGGAACAAAGTTACTGGGATTATTACTGATGGGGCACCTGCCATGGTTGGTGAACGAAGTGGATTATCAACCCTAATCTGTAACAAGGTGATCGAAGAAGGAGGCAAAGCTATTAAACTCCATTGTATCATTCATCAACAAGTTCTCTGTGCTAAACATCTCAAATATGATCATGTTATGAAACCGGTGCTAAAGACTATTAATTTTATTCGCTCTAAAGCCCTGTGCCACCGCCAGTTTAAACAGTTTCTACTGGACATCCAGGCTGAATACGAAGATGTTTTATATCACAACGATGTAAGATGGCTCAGTCGGGGGTCTGCACTGCAGCGTTTCTACTCTCTCAGAAAGGAAATCGGAGAATTCTTGGAAACAAAGGGACAACCAATGCGAGAACTATCTGATCCTATTTGGCTGGCTGATTTGGGGTTTCTAGTTGACATAACAAAGCATCTGAATGTACTGAACACGAGTCTTCAGGGGAAAGATGCAGCGGTGAACCAGCTTTATTCACACCTCAAAGCCTTTGGGACAAAGCTGCAACTTTTCATAAGGCAGTTGTCACAAACACAGCCCAATACCATACATTTTTCAGCGTTGCAGGAAATAATGAACAGTTTTCCACAGGACAATATCAGTGCGCAAACGAGCAGGTATGCAGCAGACATTGCATCTCTGGCTGGGGAGTTTAAACGGCGCTTTCAGGACTTTGCAGCTATTGAAAAGGAGATCAGCCTTTTCTCCTCTCCATTCTCTGTTGACCCCGAGGATGCTCCAGATCAGCTGCAGCTCGAGCTCATTGAGCTGCATTGTGACAGCGAGTTACGCAGTCGTCACCAACAGCTCTCTCTTGTGAACTTTTACCGCCAACTGGATAAGAGCCGGTTTCAAGAGATTCGAACATTGGCTAAGAAAATGCTGAGCTTGTTTGGCTCAACATATATGTGTGAGAAGACATTCTCTGCTATGAACTTTAACAAGAACCGCGTGAGGACAAGACTAAGTGACTCTCACCTGCGTGACATTTTGCGCATCAAAACCACTGCCTTTGAACCAGACCTAGCCTATGTACTGCAGTCCAGATCTCAGTTTCACCCTTCACATTAGTGTAGGCAAGTTTTTTTTTCAATTGAGATGAATACATTGTAAAATCTCAGTTAATGTCAGTTGGTCTAAATCAGTTATAAATATATTTGGACACAACATGTATAGTTGGTGTTATGTCGTTTGCCGCTCAACATATATGTGTGAGAAGATGTTCTCTGCTATGAACTTTAACAAGAACCACGTGAGGACAAGACTAAGTGACTCTCACCTGCGTGACATTTTGCGCATCAAAACCACTGCCTTTGAACCAGACCTAGCCTATGTGCTGCAGTCCAGATCTCAGTTTCACCCTTCACATTAGTGTAGGCAAGTTTTTTTTTCAATTGAGATGAATACATTGTAAAAGAGTGATTTAACACCTGTTTAGATTTGTCATCCATGTGACGAAATGAAAAGTATGCCGTTTGTAATAAACTTTGCATAAAATAGTTACTTTGCATTTAATTTTAATGGTTCAAAGAATGTCAGGCAAAATGGTCGGCCCTCACGCATGTTCACTTCATCAAATCTGGCCCTCTTTGAAAAAAGTTTGGACACCCCTGCTATAGGGTGTGAGTGGCTGCTCATGGGAGAGCGCGGGCAGCTTAGGAAGCCCCACTCAAAGTTCTTATTGAAGTCCTAGGAGTATTTCTCAGGTGTCTCAGCTCCTCCTAGCCAACGACTTGCAATGGGCATGGCCTTGCGGTGTGCCATGACCCAGCAACCAGCGGTTCACGGCCCGGCACCAGTCCACAGACTGGCAGTTGAGAACCACTGCTATGGGTGATTTCCCCCAGCAATAGGGCAAGAGAAAAACATTTTAAAAGATAAGGAAAATGTGATTTTAAAACCACAAGAATTTACAGGAGGAAATGATAGGCAGGTGTAGTACCTGGAACTAGTTTATAATTCTTAATTGGCTAGATTTGTGACAGTGTCACTTTACAGGACATATTCTGAGATTGCTGTCATGTGTTGCTTTTATTTTAGGCAGCTGCAGAGATCAGGCATGGGGAGGTTTGTGTGGGAGTACATGTCCCATCCAGGTTTTTGTGAACTCCAAGCTGCCTTTGCAGGGGTTGCTGTGCTTGGTTTGCTGAGGAAAGGGGAGCTCTGTCCTTCTCATGCTATACCCTCCCTCACCCCTCTCTAGCACATTTCCAGCTTACTTAGCCTGGAGCAGGTGGAAGGATGCTGCTGCTGCTTCTCCTCTGAGAGGGTGGCCACTCCGGGTTTCTGTCTCCATGTAGTGCAGTGGCTACCTGTGAGAGCCCAGCTGAAGAGATGGTAGTAGGGGGCCACAGGACAGATTAGGTTGGTGGGAGGGGAGAGTGTGGCACCTAGAGTCAGGCACAACATCTCTGGGAAAGGAGTCAGGAGCAGGGTCACTGTGCTCAGCCCAAGATAGGCACATTACCTGCACCTCTCCCTGTGCTGGGAGCTCAGTGGAGAAACTTTGTTGCTGTGAGTCCATCCCTGCCTCTCTTTTCTGGAACTGGTGCTGTCCCAAATGCATGTGATCCCCAATTATGCAATTCCAGCCCATCAGGAGCTGGGGGATTGGCTGCTCTGGCTCAGGGAGCTGTAACTTAAAGGTTCCTGTACCCTGAGGCAATGCAGGGAGGCAGTTAGTGTGCCCCTAATCTTTTAAATTGTGCCCTCTCCCTCTTAATCGTTACATATTTCCTCTGTGCCTAGTCAAAAACAGAAGAAAAAAGTATGGAATATATTGTATATTTGAAAACTATACACATCTGTACACGCTTAGTTATTCTCTATTTTGGAATACCTGAACTGTTTGGTTTTGAGTGTGTGGTTTGTGTTTTTTTTTTGTCATTTTATTAGTCACTCATCTGTGTGTCTTGCTGTCAAATGTGAAGGTTAAAGTTTCAGGTCTGGAACTTATTCTTCCTAGGATCTTTTAGCTAGACAGTATTCCAGAATGTATTATTAAATATAACAGAGAATATTTTAATACCTTAAAGGTGAATAAATTAAAACATTTACTCAAGATCAGGAATGAGGTGAGAGAGAAATTGAGCTATAAAGAGAAAGTAAGGAATAATTCTTCAGTGGAGGAGAGCATATCAAGATAGATGAATTTTTAGATGTATTGCCAATTTTGACAGTGCCCCTCTAAATTATTAAATAAACGAGAATACAGGTAGTCCCCGAGTTACGCGGATCCGACTTATGTCGGATCCGCAGTTACGAATGGGGATTTTCTCGCCCCGGAGGACTAGAGCGGCGGGACGCCTGGTCCGGCAGAGGACCCGGGGCCAGACCCGCGGCCACTTCCAGATCAGCTGGAAGCGCCGTGGGTCCGGCCGGGTCCTCCGCGGCTTTGCTCAGCATCTCCCTGGTCTGCTGGGGGGGGGGACGCAGCTAGTGCCCCCCCCCCCCAGACCCGGGAGCCAGGGAAAAGCCGGGGGCCAGTGGTAGGGGAGCCGGGGGGGGCGCTGGG